CAAAAATTCATATGGAACAACAAAAGACCTAGAATAGCCAAAATAATTCTAGGGAATAAAGACAACATGGGAGGGATATCCATGCTGAAATTCAAACTCTACTATAGAGCCATAATAACAAAGACAGCATGGTACTGGCACAAAAACAGACCTGAAGACCAATGGCATAGAGTAGAAGATCCAGAAATAAATCCACGGGCCTACAGTCAGCTGATATTTGACAAAGGAGCCAAAGACATACAATGGAAGAAACACAGCCTCTTCAACTACTGGTGCGGGGAAAACTGGGTGGCCACATGCAGAAGACTAAAAGTGGACCCCAGCCTGTCACCATGCACCAACCTCAACTCAAAATGGATTAAAGACCTTAACATTAAACCTGAATCTCTGAAAAATACTGCAGTACAGAGTAGAGAGACACTTGAACTTATAGGCACAAGAAGGAACTTTCTGAACAGAGTCCCAGGGTCACAACAAATTGGAGAGAGACTCGACAAATGGGACTATCTTAAAATAAAAAGCTTCTGCACAGCTAAAGCTATCGCAACCAAGCGAGAAGACAAACAACTAATTGGGAAAAAATATTTACCAGCAATATATCAGACAAGGGATTAATATCCTGTATATACAGGGAACTCAAGAAACTAATCCCTCCCATTCTAACAAACCAATTACTAAATGGGCAAGGGAACTAAAGAGGGAATTCTCAGATGAAGAGATAAAAATGGCAAAGAAACACATGAGGAAATGTTCACCATCCCTGGTTGTGAAGGAAATGCAAATAAAGACAACCCTGAGATACCACCTTACCCCAGTCAGAATGTCACATCCTCAAGTCAGCCAACGACAAATGCTGGAGGGAACCTTATTACACTGCTGGTGGGAATGTACACTTATACAACCACTTTGAAAGCAGTCTGGAGAGTCCTCAGAAAGCTAAATATCGACCTCCCTTATGACCCAGTCATACCACTTCTATCCTGAACAACAGGAACCAGTATACAAGGACACATGCACCTCCATGTTTATTGCAGCACTGTTCACAATAGCTAGGATATGGAAACAACCCAAATGTTCCACCACAGATGAATGGATCCAAAAATTGTGGTATCTATACACAATGGAATATTATGCAGCCATTAGAAATGACAAAATAATGGCATTTGCAGG